ATTCACACTGGAGTGATCTGAAATGGTACGCCTTGATAGAAAATGTTAGTCATTGCTGTTAACTCAGAGCAGATGGCCATTTTTGTTTCTTCAAAATATATGATTTGCAGAGCTTTTGGTAGAGCTTTCCTACTTGGGGAAAAAAAAAAGGTGCATATGCTCAAACCAGCCATTGTGCAATTACAAGTGTCCAAAATCACAGACTAAGACTAAATTTGAATAAGCAGAGTGTGCACAGTGGAGTTGCAGGTTAAATAGATAGAAAATGTACAGTTTCATTCAAGATTACCTTTCCCACTAGCTGGAGTGTGTGGATTCTGTTATTTTCTCCCCTTTTCATTTTAGGTGACTATTCATTAAACCCCTATTCTGTACGTTTTCAATTTCAATCAAGTGCGAAATGCCTAAGAATTCAATCTTTTGTATTTTTCATGGAATAAAATGGGACCAATTTGCATATAGTTCTAGATTTCTGATGTTCAATTCTGCTTCCATCCTAATAGAGACAAATGTTTACAAAAAATGACTTTGAAATCCCTGTACAAGAAGATATTCCTTTATCTTGCAGTCTGTGAGTAGCTTCTCTTGTGTCAGTGTGACTGCTGAAGCTAAATACGGGTTTGTGTTCCTTGGAGGATTCAAGTAGTTTATAGGTCCAGTTCTAAAAAATGTCACTACTATTCTTGCTGTGTAATGGTTGTTCTGTCTCCTCCCACATTAGCAAGAATAAATGCATTTTTGATTAATCTTGGTTTGTATTTTCTCTCTATGAAAAGAGATTTTATGCATATCCAGTACAACTTTGGCTAGTGAAATCCAGATCCAATTCAACCTAAAGCTCTCCAAGCCCATGGTTATATGTGAGTGTGCATTCATATATAATCACACATGTTAACTGAGTTTGTAATGTGCCTGCAGTGGTTGCCCTTCCAAATTTTCTAGGCTTGCTCGAGATAAATATTTAACCTGATCTTAGTATTAAGAAATTGCAAGAGGGTTCAGTCCCTCTTGATGTGCAGCAGAGCGCGTGCTCAGCACGTTCTGATGTGCAGCCACCATGGAGGGATCCCCCTGGTGCTGCAAGGGCTGCTCTTTCTGGGTGATTTTCAGGTGTGCTATTCACTCCCTGCTCCTGGGCTGCAGAGATTTGGTTTATAGGCAGGCAAGCCTTCCCTAAGCAGTGCTGACAGCCCAGGTTTCAGGGTGGGTGGGAGGGAAATCTCAGTAACTCACAGCTGGGCCAGTCTTCAAACTTATCTGGCATTTCTCACTTTCCTCTTGGGCACTTCAAATACCTTAACCCAGTCCTGTTAGGATTCTCTTGTGATGGGAGGAATCCAAGAAACACCTATGGACATTTCTGTATTAGGCCTTGAAATATACGGGGGAAAGGAATCAAGAAATCAAGGTTAAAATAAAATGAAGAAGTTGTAGGGTAAGCAAAGTCACAGCTGGGTGGCTGCTCCACCTCGAGGTGATAGGCCTAGCCTAGAGAAGGCATGTCCTGAGTGTGCAACCTTCCAGAACTAGAAATGATGCTTTTAGTCCAATTGTCTGTTCATCCTCATGAGCAATTATGTTGTATTTTAGTGGAAATGCAGTTCCAAATTGAGGTTTATTTATCTAGAGTACAATAAAATCTGCAGATAACAAATGGTAGCCTTTTGTCTTTTTTACTCGGGGAAAAAAAAAGGCAGATATCATATTATGTTGATTTCCAGATATGCCACTATAGTTATATTTTCATTAACTATGCATGATATTTAAATTACAGTGATGTGACTCCAGGAGGAAGTGGAGTAGGTAGATGTGGTAGATGCACACAGCTTTGCAGTTTCCTCAATAATGTGGTCACATTTAAGAAATGTTAAATGTTCAAGAGAAATACTGCTTGCAGATGGTACTTGTAGGCATGTCCCCATTTTCTGTATCTGTCTTGTTTCTGCAGTCCCTTAGATTTACAGATGCCTGAATATCAGCAGGATTGGTATTGCTGAGAATTCATCTTTCCTGGTGTCCTTTATTCTATCAGTCTTTGATGTCCAGCATCCCATTTAGCTGCTCTAGAGATGAGGGTGAGAACATGACTTCACAGTATTCCATATGGAGAATGTAGGTGAGGCTTGAGTAGTAACTGGTGCTGTGCTGATGTCTTCAGCAATTTTAAGAAGTGGAAGAGAGAAGAAAACAGAAAATCTGAATTGTTTTCAAGAACGTTTTTACAGCTTTCCATGAGACGCCAGTGGATTCCTAATGAGTAAAACATGTTAATGTGTTTTTGTAAGATTCCACTGGTAACAGGAAAAGGACACACACTTTTCAGAAGTTACTGAAAGAAGCTAACTTTGGCTTTTTTTTCCTTTGAAAAGTTCCTATGCTTGTCAGCCTTTCTGGGAGAAAGACAGGCAGGGGCAGTCTAGCAGCAAGGAACCCAGCTGGGGAGACAAGCATCCCCTCACCTGCCCTGCTGGGACATTCCTGGGAGCACTCAGGGCATGCATCCTTCATGTGCTGTGTCTTTGGCAGTGGTGGTGGAATAGAATGAGCTGCACAAAAAAGAGCTCTCAGATCCTACAGGGAGAAAGAAAGGCCTGGGAGATGCGGGGCCATCATGCTGGCCATGAGGTGTCCCCAGCCCCAGGAGAAGTCCTGACACAGAGGCAGAGTGCAGGACTGTCAGCTCCCACGTGCTCGGAGTGCCTGGCTGAAATCCCTGCTCGCACAGCCACACTGCTTGGAGCAAGCCACAAAATGCCAAAGAGTGTAATATATAACATGACAGGCCTGAAAAAATGTTTTCACAAGCTGGTGTCATGTTGTTTTGCTCTTGCAGATAAGTGTTTTTGGAACTTCCCTATCACTGTGTTTTACAGCCTTTATTTGCTCTATTGTTATTTTTAGTCATCTTTGCTGAGAGTACCCTTTTACCATTTCAGCTTCCTAGTTCTACAAAGTTATAGCTGCTTCATTATCTTAGCCAGAAAAGCTTATCTCAGTAAAAGTTTCTCCTAACAATAAATTAAAGCTTTTTTTCCTCTGGCAATTTCATTATGCCTTTTTTTTCACTTTTTTTTTCCACTTTTTTTTTTCTTTAATTGACTTTTTTTAAATTCAGTAAGTGCTGACTTGGAGTTCCACAATATTGCAAATTGAATAAAATTCAGGTGTTTCCTCAGTTTAAGGTAAAAGCATCTGATAAAGTCATCCGGCTATTATTTGCTTTAAGAGACGATTAGTACTTATGGAGTTAGGAAAGAAAAAGGATTCATTTTAAATTTCTCAATCAATAAAAGAATCCACAGAGCTTTCAGTTGTTCATCCTGTCAGTGGCATTGGCTAAACTGTAGGATCAGGCCTGTTAGTGCCTCTTTGTGACCTTTGGGGCTGGTTTCTGAGGGAAGGAAATGTCCTGGTGGCACCTCCAGTCTGGGATTTTGAAGGGAGTAGTGCAAGCCTGGTGCTCAGATTTAGCCTTTGAATTTGGTGAGAACTGAGTCACCAACGTAAGGAAATAATTCTGAGTATGTCCTTTATTCTTTGCAGTTTTGAATTCAACCTATGAGCCTGCTAAAAATACCTGATTTTGCTCTCTTCATGCAGTTTTGAATTCAACCTATGAGCCTGCTAAAAATACCTGATTTTGCTCTGTGGGTGTGCTGTGGTGAGTGGGTGTGCTGTGGTTGCTCTGCTGTGGTTTCATAGGTGATAATTTAGTGATTTGGTGTCATGGCTGCTTCATGCTCAGGTTCAATTACACCTTTTTTACCTTTTTTTAACCTGTTCCCTGAGACTGCCCCTAAAAAGCAAGGCTGTGAGCTGCCTCGTCCCGTTGTTGGTTAAGAGAGAATCACTTCTGTGAGTGGGAATTACATCAAGTCAGTTGTGTTCCAGCAGTGGCAGTGAAATTCCACCAGTCCCTGAATGCTAAAGAAATTTGTCTGGGCAGTGACAATAATAGCTTTATTTCCTTGTTCTACAGTGAATTTGGGTTTTTCCCCTCTCAGAATATGTGGGAGAAATTACCTCTGTAGCTGCACAATGAAACCAAAGGACCCCTTGTCATTGAGAGTGAAGCAATCTCCATCAACCCCTCTCCTCCACAGCTTGCTCAACGAAGAAAAGAGTCTGGTTGGGATGGAAGATTGATTCTTGTGCAACTGTTAAGATCTAGCAAAATCTGCTTTCCTAACCCTTTTTAGCTAAGCTTGTGGCCTTTCCTAAAAAGACTGTTGGCTGACACATTTACAGTGATCTGGTCTGTGTATAGAATTGGAATTCAGAAACTAATGGCTAAACCGTGAGGGGAAAATCTGTTCTGTGTATTGAAGAATTTACAAGAACCACCTTCCTGGAGATGTATTTTCCCTCCTTTCTCTTTTCTTCCATTAAATGATTCCCTATATTTATCTCGTTATGTGAACTACCTGTAAGAGGTTTTACTTAAACATGTCCCAGTTTTCTTACTGTGGTGAGAGGCATCTGAGGTTTGTTTTGTTTGTTTAAAAATATCTTGATTGTCATTGCTGTTTTTTTCCTGTTTTACCAATGATGTTTTAAAACTGAAAAGAGTATAAATTGGACTGAAAGGACTTCACATGGGAAGAAGTTGCATTAGTGATGATTTTGGTATTTATTGTTACAGCAGCAATCCATCACAAGCTGTGCTGTTATGTTGGCATGTCTTACGTGTTTGTCCTTTTCATCACAACACCCTTTTTTTCCCTAAAACTGCTCTGTTTTGGCAAAAGCAGGAAAAATTGATTTTAGGTAGTTTCATGGTGCTTTTAGCTGATTATTATTTCCAGAGCTGTGCTGTAGCATTCTAAGATACTTTTAAGTACTCCATGTAATTATTAAACAAGCACCTGTCCCATAAACTCTGTTTTCCACAACAATTACCAAGTAATTTCTGATCCCAAATGATTTTTAATTTTAAATGCTGTGTGCATGATAGGGAGTAGTAAAATGTTAGTTTTACAATGTGGTGCTCTTTGTTCCAGGAATGTTTACAAGGATTACCGTTTCCTTGAGCTAGCCTGTGACTCCCAAGAGGAGGTGGATAGCTGGAAGGCATCTCTGCTACGAGCCGGTGTCTATCCTGATAAATCCTCAGTAAGTTAAAAGCTCACTGGTTTGCCAGTAGCTGCTCTGTTTGAGTCAAAAAAAACCAACTATATCATCTGGGAAAACACAGTGTCTGCAGATATCTCAACAAAGAGCAGCCTTTTCATTGTACTGTGGTAATTCTAAAATATTCATAATGAAATATTTTAAGAGCAATTTGTGCGTCAAACCTCAATGTAAAAAACCCAACCAACCACAAACCAAACCTTCCAACATGTTTTTCATTGGATCCTTGTAGTAAAAGCATTGAGCAATTTGGGGTTTCCTGAGCTTCATTGTTTCTATTAATGTTTTCTAAGGTAAAGATGTGCTTTGAAGAGTTTATTCCCTCAAGCTCTGGATTACAGAACTGACAGAAGCATTCCAGGCAATCATGTATATTTATTTTACTTATTCACTGCATCATTTTTTGTGTATGAAACACATGCTAAACCTTTCCAAAGGCAATTTTACTCAGCTAATCATCATGTGAAGCAAATTGAACAGGATACAATAAAAAAGCCTCTATTCATTTACTAGAAATGACAGAAAGTTGGGAAACAGAATATGTCCAGCTACTATTTAATATTTTTGGACCTGGATATCTTGGTATTTTACTTCAAGTGAAGGTTTGAGATGTATCCAAAGAGAAGGCTGACTAGCAGAATTACCTGGCATTTGAGCCTTTAAAGTTTCTGTAATGCACAGTTCACCTTTCTGCAGTGAGTGCTGGATGCCTTCATCAGAAGATCTGCTCTGAGGAATGATGCTTTGATTCTGATGAATTTGCTTTTCTTCCTAATTGTTTTCCGTGGGAAGGCCAGGTTCTTTGAATCCAGGGTCTAGTGCTGTCTTCTCTCTTTATCCTTTTCTTCCCTTGGTTGTGATGCCTGCATGGTTTCCAGTACAATTCTGTCTGCATCTCCTCCAGGAGCTGTTCATGCAAACAAGCTCAGCTTCTCTTCATACAAAGTTTCAAGACTGCCATAAAAAGATAAATAAGAAATTCTTATACTAGAGGATTCTCCAGTTATTATAGAAATAAACAAATGATGGTAATGATGAAATTTTTTTAGAGAATAGTGCAAATATGCATTTAGCAGGACACCTACCAGGTATCTGAGACTTTACCTTTAAAAAGTAAAACATTGTTGGTGACTTTTCAGTATTTGCCTGTTCCAGTAGATCTGTTCCTACCTAAGAATATCAGAAGCCATGTAACAAGGATTTGTTGTGAGAGGTTACCTAATTAATTATTTGGACCAATATCCTGTGTTGCGTTGGGTTTTTCTTGATTAGGTTTTAATGATGATTTCACAAAAGACTCTTGCTGCCTCTGGTTTAATCTTGTGTTCTGTAATGGTTTTATCATATTGCTATATCTGGTACTTTATCCTTAAACAAGACACACTAGTTGAATTTCTGAACTTCTCTTCTGTCTTCCTGTCTCTCCCTTCTCCCTAAAAATACTTGGTATTCAAAATATGTTTACAAAGAATTCTTGGTTTTGTTTAAAGTTGATCTGTCAAAGGAGTCTTAGAAGCAAGATGAGAGACTTCCTTGAAAGAAGTAGAAGGGACTCAAAATACAGTTCCCTTCTGAGCTGGAATTATCTTTACATTATAAAAGAATAAATATTATTGTTCCAAATGCCTGTAGTTTGAAATTCACCCAGTAGTTTATCAGGCTGTTCAGCAAAGATGCTCTGTGCTACTCTAGGCCTCCAAAACTTTGTTCCTAAAGGAGGTTCAGATGTGGACTGTGAGTCTGCTGTTCAGAGCTTTGAATTTTGCAAAGCAAAATCTCCAAGGTTCCAGGTACCTTAGAAGATCCAGTGGATCCTAAATAAAAATGAGCAGCATTTCATGAAAATCCTGTGCATGGTCCTCAGTTTCACACCTTCCTCTGGCAATATAAAATTGTTTTAGAGACACCCCCAGTCTTTTATTCTCCTCCAAAGATTCAAAGACCATGGTTTTAAGTAGGAGGGACTGCCAGGAAATTACTGCAACCTGAGTTTACTTCAGTGCTTCCCCCCAGCCTCATGATCCCAGAGTTAAAAAGGCAAAGAGGTGCCTAAGCCCTTTCCCAGAGAGAACTTCTCTCTCTTGTACCTGTGAGGCACAGCTGGGAGCTCTGAGTATCCAGGCCTTTGGCACCAGCAGCAGAACTGCTGCTTGGAAATGAAAACTAAAGGAAAAGTAGGAATCTGGCACCAATTAAAGAGCTGTGTTCTGAATTCTCACCAAGGGCAAATCTCTCCACTAAGAATATTCATTTTTCTTTTGATTTTTTTTTTAGTAGTGCTGCATACAATTGTTTGGTTACAGTGGTGATGGGGCTCAGTACTTACTACCGCTAACATGGATTCTCTGCTGCTCATTTAATCCTGCTCATTTAAAGTCCAAGGTTCTAAATTTATAATCTTTTTGCCTAAGCAAATCTCATTAATATTTTAAAGGCCATATATCATCCCCTTCCTCCATTTCCTTGCTTCATTTTGCTGATTTTCCCTGTCCCTCTGTCCATGGCGAACACAGAGTGAGTGTGTTCCCATATTCACTGTCCCATGAATTACCTCTGGTCAGCCCTCAGCATTGCTCTGAATTCTTTGCAGTATCCAAGTCACCTCCTTCCCAATCCTTTTGCCTTTGTGGGGCCGTGGGCTTTGACAGCCACCCAGATAGCAATGAATCAGTGTTTTTATTTTTCCAACCCATATGCAAGGCAGCTTGCTTGATATAAATCATCCTGTGGCCAATTCACTTTGAAATGGGATATCCATTTACCAGCTGACTTTGCTGCTGGCTTTCTGGACCGATGCATCCAAACCCCTCCTTTTTTTGTTAAAAAATTACTACAACGTCGTGACTAACCTTTCCAGACTGTATTTCTCAACTGGTGTAGGCTGGTGTTTATTTTGGCTGGCTTCCCACTGTATAATATACACTGTTCATGCCAGCTCATGGCAAAACTCACAATTAAACCAAAATAATAGCCCAGATGTTTGTCGTAACTTGCTCTGCACACTTTACCTCGTTAGCACCACCCATTCCTTCTCCCCCTATGGCCCCCGATGCCATCTCCTCCTTATTTTTATTACTAATCTAAAAATACAACATTTGCTTTTTAAAATGCTTTGAATGTTGAAACTTTCCATTAGCTGGCAAGTTGTAGGGAATGGCTGTCGTGGAAGGCTCAGCCGAGCTGGTTGCTGTGAGTACTGGAAGTTCAGTGTTACCAACACAAGAAAATCCCTCTGGCTGCCATCCCATCCCATCCCATCCCTAGATCACTTCAGGCCTCATTTTCTTCTCCCTTGTATTTGTATCCAGCGACTTGCCAGGAGCTGCTTCTGATTTGCGCCGGGTCAGAATGTTTGTGCGGTGAGGAAAACAGCTCTGCTGAACATTTAAGTCCTTTGTGAATGTCCTGTGCTCCCCTGGAAGCTGTCTGACTGCAGGATTCAGTGAATGTTCCCTGAGTCAGTTCCTCATTTGGTTTGAGCCATTTCCAGAAGTGTACAAGTTAGGCTGAATGCATGTAAAATAAATATAACTAATATTTCTTTTTTCCCCTCTTTCTTCCGTGCTGCATCCTGCAAAGGGGAGCAACAAAGTAAGTTGTTTGTCCTTTTACAAAATCCTTTTGTATCCTGTCTGAAGGACTTTGTAATGAAAATGAGTTTGTCTTTCAGTTTACACAGCTATTGCCTGCGTGCTTTTAACAGCAAGATGCAATTAAAAATGTGGGAGCAAAAGTGTCTTCAAGAAAAACTATAACTGGCTCTTTTAATTTTGGGGAAAGAGTGTTAAGTGTTGCTGAGCTGTTTTTAAGGAGGTTCAGTAAGAATGCTTCTATAAAAGTATTGGGCCCAAAGATTATGAAGGTATAGTAATAAAGACCTTCTGAGGAAAGGTTACTACAGTCTGATGAAACTCATTACAGCTGGGTTTTTTGACCATACATCAAAGCTTGTATTAATGGGCAGTTATAAAAACCCAGCACTAAAGTCTTAAATAACAGATTTGCTGGCGTTGTTGGCTAAGCTGAACTAGATCAGTGTACTGGCTTTGAAGGTGCCTTAAAATGGATGGAGGAGGGTGGGGTCAACATTTGACTTGGCTTCTAGACCCTTGATGTGTTCCAGCTGGACAGCAGCAGAAGGGTGTGGGGTGTGGAGAGGCAGAACTGAAATATGCGTGGTAGGGGTTTTTTTGAAAGTAAGCAGCACATAAAAAGACGGTTTTGCTGATGTTGATCTGATAAACGAATAATCATGCAGTTCCCAGGGTTAGGACTTTTTAATGCCATTTTTACTGAGCTTAAGAATGCAAGTTTCACATCTCACACTTTGGAATAAGATGCAGAGAAAGTTTGTCATACCTCAGAAAGGAGTTATATAGCTTTTGTGACTTTTTTTTTCCCTCCCTCCTTCCTGTTTTGATATATTAACCCTTAAGAAGATGAATCTGGAGCATCAAAAGATGCTTCAGAGCAAACGTTGAAAGTAGCCTTTGAATAATTCTGTAGCATTTCCTTTGTGAGCTGGAAGCCTTCTGGGATATTTGGGAAAGACCCAGGTGGGTTTTAAAGGTTTTGACGGTTGGGGAATTTTGTCTGCTTCTAATTTTTGTATTTTTAACCAGTTTTTGATCACTCCTCTCTCCACAGTGGCTGGGCTCAGAAACACCAAAAATACTCTGTTTTGTTGGCCTGCCTGAGAAAAGGTGCTCTTAGTGTTGGGTGGGGAGGGGTTAAGAGAATTGGTGAATTGATGGCATAGAGAGAGGACTTTACATAGGAGGTGGTGTGAAATGTAAATGTTAACTGTGTACACTAAAATGTCAAGGTAGTGTTTATAATATTTCTTTACGACATGCTGGCTTAAGGCTTTGCTGCTGCAGGGGATGCTGCTCTGATCTCAGAGGAGACTGTAGATGCTCTGTTAAGGGAAACGGGGATAGATGGGACACCACTGAGTCTGGAGGTCAGGAGCTGCATGGACCTGCTCTATTCTCCAGAGCTGTGAGCTGTGGGGCACCCCAGGGAGGTCAGCACCAGGAGCAGCTGACAGATTTCGGCAGGACACCCATGAGCAGGGAGAGGAGAAGCCTGTGAGATGTGAGGATTTGGGAGCTCTTAACTCTTCCTTTACTCTGAGCCAAGGGCAGTTCTTGCTGTAGGTTCAGAAACTCCGTCTGGCCTGGGTTGCCATCCAGAAGATAACTCCAAAAGAAATCTCCAGGAAACCATCCTGATCTTTCCCTTTGACCCAGTTCCTTGTAAGGATTCGTGTCTCGTCATCCGTGTGTCCCCCTTCTCCTTCACACACATCACTCCTGCTGGAGTCTGGAGATCACCTGATCCCAGTTGGACACACAGAACCAACCTGAGGCTGCCTGCAGAGGCTCAAACTCCACAGTCTTGAGATTTCTGTGCCTAGTGGAGTTGGAAAATGATGTGGATAAACCTGAGAGGTGACCAGAGTTTCTGAGAAGAGGCCAGCGGGGAGAGGAATGGCAGATTGACAATGATAGTGTCTTAAAGCTTCTAATGCAACTTTGTGCTGAAAAGCTGCAGAATCCTTCCTTACTGTCTCAGCACAGCTTTTGTGGGTTGCTTCCAGAGCTGTAACCCTTCTCCAGTGCGGCCCAGTGTGCTGTTCCTGCACTGGATCCTGTCATGTGTTCATGTGTCAAGATCCTGCACTCACCCATCCGTTCAGACTGTGGCCTCTTTTATACCTCTGCCTTTAGCTTTGCACTCTTGGACTTACAAAAGTAAAAATAAACATTGGAGTAATGAGTCCGTAAGAAAAAGGGGGAGGAAGGGAAGTGAAGAGGGTTTATAATCGTCAGTGGACTACTAATCATTTTTATTTTTACTTTTTATTGTTGCACAATCATTACTGTAAGTGAGATTTCTCACATGGTTAAAGATAAATATATCTTCAGAAGCTTTGTTGGATAAAATCTGTAAAAGGGTCGTGTAGAATGAGGTAATGGAGACCTACCTCATTCAGCAAGCACATGTTGGCAAGCTGCATTTTGCTAATATTAACACTGAGCTCCACAGCCTTGCATGAGGAATGAGTGCAGAATTGCCCAGAGTTGTGCAGAGCACTGTAGCTTCAGCCCAGCTGCTGAAGACAGAGGAGCTGAGAGCTTCTGACTGTCCTAACCCACCACTGTGGATTTGCTGCTTACCCTGTGCGTCCTCTTTACCATTTAAAAACCAAATCCCCTCCAAACAGCCCTCCAGATGCTGCTGTGTAAGAACAATACCAAAACCTGAACCATTCTCCCAGAGTCCATCTCCATGGGCTTCTAACAGTGCTAACAGTGTTAGCACTGTTGGGTTAAAGGAGTAGATAGAGGCTGGGACCTTAGGAAATTTTGATTCTGAATCCCTGGGCACTCAAGCAATAAAACAGCAGCAACAGAAAAATCTCAAAAGCTTGAAGTGCCACTTTTTAATATAAAAAGTCACCTTTCTTTTGTCATCATTAAGGTCTGAGTTAGCCAATAATTTCTACTTGATTCAAAGTACCAAACACATGAATGCTGAGCTCAGACTTCAGAAACTTTGACTTGGAAAACCAAAATCTCTTTAAATTACTTTTTACAGATAGTGACTACAAATTTCATGCCTTCTAATTATTTTGCATTGCTGTGCTTGCTGATAACCCTTTACAGAATGTGTAGAACTAAAGTCTATAAAGTCCGTGTTCACATCTCAGTGGAGTTGTCACAGTGCAGATAATGCTGTGCATGCAAACAGTCACTGAATGTAAAATCAGTGTAATTTAGTTGGCATTTTCTCTTAGGAAAAGCAGAGTCCCCCTGAAAAGAGAAAGAAAATACTCTTCCTGTCAGGTCAGTTTGCCTGTTGTTCCTTCAAATTCTTTTTGGTGACTATTAATGGCTTAAATTAAAGTCTTTCTTTTCTCTCCCCATTTTTTAAAAATTTCTTATTTTATTTAAAGGGGAGTTAATGTTACTAAACCCAGATTCCAGATCAGCTACTTCATTAAGGAGTCCAGATGTCCTCCTGTCTCTTGAGACTGTCCTGGAAAATGGGAACATAGTGAAGTCAGGATCCTCATTCTCCCTGCATATATGACGGCAGTGCTCTCAGTTCATGTGTTTTGTGCTTGGCTCTTCCATGTAAATGCAGGTGCAGTGCCAGAAGCTGGAGGTGTCTCACACTGGAATAAAGTTCTGGTGCTTTCTTTTCAAGTCTGGCCATGTTTCTGAAAGGGCTTCAGTTCCCTCCCAGACGTAACTGTGTTCCTGGCTGTGGTGATGCTCTGCCAGTGCCCCTGCCAGATTCAGTGGTTCTACTCTGGGATTGCTCAAGTCCCTGCTTGGGATAAGTCCCAAAAGTAGAAAAAGTAAAGACTTGTTTGGGTTTGTTGAAAAGCAAACTGCTGATATGTCAGAGGGCAAAACAGTGTAGTCAGAAGTGTAAACTCTGCATTTACTGAGTTTACTTTTTTTAAACTAGTATATTTTAGAAAAGGAAGGCATTGAATTCTAGGAAAAGAAGAATGCATTTCAGTTGTGACTAAAGGTGGCTTCAAGCCAAGTAGGTTTAAAAATAACTTTTAAATGAAGTGTTAATTTTTTTTTTTTTTCAAGTGGAAAAATGCCATAATTTTATAGACAGTGTTTCAGTCATTGCTTTGAACAGATGAGCTGGATTTTACAAGGAAGTCCCGGTGTAAAAGAGCAGCCCGAGGGGGTGAGGGTGCATGCGCACACGCTGGGTCAAAAGCAGTCCAAAAGGCAGGCAGGAAAGGAAATGGCAGGCTGTTTTCCAGTCCCCTTCTCCCTGCCTCGCTGCTCCAACGATGTGAAAACATGTTTCAGATGAAAGCATCTTCTGCTTCTCCTAAATATTTACTCCTTCAAACAAAAACTGAAAAGATGAAACCTTGCTCCCCAAATGTTGCCGAAGAAACAGAGCAGCCCTGGTTCATATTCCTGTAAGAGTAAAAGAACTTCTGTCCCAAGAGAATTAAAAATGTCCAGGGGAGAAGAGATTCACAGGATTGCATCAGTTGCAGGGAGTGTAACAAGATGCAGGCTGATATTCTGAATGGTTCCAAAGGCAGCCTCGGTGAAGCTGCTGATGGGGTTGGGGGTTCAATGGCTGTCACGGGTTTTATGTTCCTGCTCTTAGCTGAGGCTGCTGACATTAAGCAAACTCCAGGAAATTTAGAAATGAGCAAACATTTTTTATTTCTGTTATGTATTCACGGTGGGCTCTTTACTGTGCTTTTGGCAAGGTGTCTGCATACTGAAAATATTTTTAAATTCTTCATTTTTTATGGGGCAGCTAGTTTTTACACCACTTCTGCTCTGATGAAGGATTTTGATGAAACTCTGCAGAAAGGTGAAGGCTCTCTGGCTGTGAAGTTTCAGGAATGTTAGCCCCATTCTGGACATTCAGTGAGGTTTGTTCTGGGGAAGGCAGTGAGGGTGGCCAAATCTTAGGGTGCTTTCCTAGAGCTGGTCAATGAGCACTGAAAGTTGGCTGGAGCAGAGGAAGGTGCTTCTGGGCTGTGCTGCAGCAATCTCAGCCACAAAGGTCCTTTGGAGCCCAGGCTGATA